TTGCATTGCTCGGCGTCACTAAGGCCCCTCAATTCCGCTTTCAGGTTTCTTACTTGATCCTTACTGCGGTAGTCTGTGTTAATTTCCTCTGCGTGGTCTACCATTTCTTTCAGCCATTCATGGGGCATCTCTCCGGCTATTGGAGAAGGCTGGCAGGGATCTCCGGCAAATATTACTTGACATTTCCCGCGGAGGAAGTCTACGAATTCTTTGAGGATTTCTAAAGGCACGGTGCAAATCTCATCCCAAAGTATTACTGGAGGTATGTCGTGGATGGCTTCAGGTACCCACTTTTGGCCATTCCAGCGAAAGAAGCTGTGGTAGGTTTGTGCGTCGTGGCCCTGACTGCAGAGTTCTCTTTCCAAACGGTGCGTTGGCGTTAGCACTTTTATCTTAGGAAAGAGTTCCAAGACGCGCGTAGTCTTACCGCTGCCTCCCGTACCGTAAAGGTAAGAGAAGCGTTGGTAGGAAATGGGGTCCTTTACGGTTGGCATGGGCCTCATTGTGGGCATTACGACGCCCCAAGTATTTTCGCCGCGATATTCTACACGTTCTCTCCATGCTTTTATCTCCTCATCTTTAACGCGCCATTGACCACTTTCCGCCAACTCATCTTCGGTGTAGAATTCCTTCATCTTCTCTAACACTTCGGGCTTTACGTACAAAGAATCCGTGGCTACGCGCGGGATGTCCTCTTTGTCAAACCGTAGGAGCATCGCAAGTAGGTTAATATGCGCGTAGGCTAACATGCTGGCACGCAGATGATAATACTGCGGTCGATGGTCTTGGTAGTAACACAAAGCATTCCATTTGTGTAGTTTATCATCTACAAGGTAATCCCATTTCTCCACGGATACCATTGTTCCTTCATCATGTGCACGCTTGATGAGGAAGCTTAGCTCACCTTCGTCCGTTATTAGGCGTCGCTGCATATGTTTTTCACCTTCTTTTGCGCCCTGCGTGAATTTACCTATGACCACACGCGCTGTGGGGTTATGCTCCGGTAACCATTGCGTGAAGGCGCTGTGACAAAGTATGGCTTCATGCGCTGTGTATTTTAAAAGTTTGCGCTCTTCAAAGAACTTCAATAGAGGTATGGGTATCCATTCTTTCTCCTGCAGGTGCTTCCCGTACCACGCATAGATTATTGGATGTAAGTCTTTTGCTAACTTCCATGAGGTTAATCTTACAAACCCCGTAGCTTGAGCGTCATAGCTGCCGTCTAAGGACACACGAAAGAACTGTGAGTCTGGATGTCCGTAGCGGTCATAATACTCCTTACAATCCCCCAATCCTTTAAAACTTGC